GAGAGGAGAGAGGAGAGAGAGAGGGAGGGAGGGAGGGAGAATTAGCTGGACCGAAACTGGACAGAACAAGGTCATACTTGTAAAAAAATAGACTGGTAGTTGTGACCATGGTTACCATGATCTTCCAACTAAAAGGTCAAATCCACTTCAAAATCTTACTACTGCACTCCAGGGTAAGGGAATCTCACTCTTTCACAATTTTAAAACTTTGGAATCTCGACCCTTCCTACTAGGTATCGAGATCATAAGTTAGAGAGGATCTGGACTCCCTAGCATTGTAAAACAGTGTAGCAATTTAGTATGGCTGCTATGGGATAGCAATATGGTATAGTACAGCGGTATAGTATAGCACTATATATTTTAGCATATAACCAAAAAATAGTAGCATATAGTATATAGCATAGTATTGAGTATATTGCAGCAGTGTGTTATTTTACAACTATGTGGTATGGTCTAATAGTATATTGTAGTATTATATTATACTACAATACGAGTTAAGTGCTCTTGGGGGGCTTCAATAATTTAACCAGATGGAGCTCGGTCTCTATAATTTATTAATCAATCCCAAGTAAGTTTGGATCCAGCCCCCGCCCCACAGACACATTAGGATCGAATCCCTAGATTCAAGGTGTGTGGAGAATAAACCGGGATCCCTACCATAAGGAGCTTTTGTGCTTGTCAAGATCTGTCATCCCGATCCTAATCCAAAATCTGTTTATATCCCAATCCCGGCAACTATGGTTATGACAAAAACCATAACCTGAAATCGGCATACACACTAAACAATAAGACATTGGGGAGCCTCACTTTTATATATAGTTAGAGATGAAAGAACCTGAGGGGAGCTTTTCAACCCAAGCTGAGGATAAAGACTTTGGAGGTCTCGAATTCCACCCACATTTGCAACCGAAACTGCCTGCTGGTATTCCTCCACCATCGCCACTGCCTCACAGTAAACAGCCTGCATTGTCAATTACAGAAAACAAAAACACATGACTTGAAAATCCCTTGTAGAAAATTAACACAAAACATGCAATGATCAAAGAAATACAAATATTGCCCCTACACCAAAAAATCCTAAAACTCATAACTGATGAATAATGTTAATAGAAATCCTGATCAAAGGAAATAAATGAAATACAAGGATTTCTCATAAATAAGAAATTAGTAGAGACATCAAATAAACTAAAACCCAGGTTTGAAGAACATTATCTCGATTATGGAGCATAGTCTTGAATTCTTCAGCATTAACATAACCTAGAATGCAGAAAGCAACTGTAGGAAGAGGTTACTCTAGAGTGCTTCATACAGTAGCAGAGTGTTAGATTGATTACACAACATTTCTTAAAAGTGAGCCACTAGATCTAGTGCCTATATAGACTGGATTGCAGAGTTGGCTTGTTTAATAATCTTCATCCTCACTTACTGAGAAATTATATTGGACCTATATTGAGTTGGTTCCCCATTGTTTCGATAGCTCTCACAAAAAAATTTAAACACAACATGGTGGTCACTAACAACAATAATACTTGTAAGAAATACCATCAAATTCAAGGATCTTTTGAAAAAAATTGTCCTGTCGCACTAGTCATATATAGGTGAGACAAAAGGCAGATTAGTGCATGCCAATAATTTATTGTTGAATTCTCTATTTCTGATGTAACAAGTTCCGGTGATGACAAGACAGAGAGTATCCGCTTAGTACAGTTGCTTTAAGACACAACAGGGAAGAAGTCTCATACCAGAAGTTAAGAGTCTACGATAGAAGATAAGTGGAACAAAATAATTGTAAGGAACAATTTTCTTCATAATGCGAGTGATTTCAAGCACGCGAGATCGCTCGAGCCACTTTGGGCTTAGGGACTTGAACCTTCTATCCAACACTCTCAGTTATAGTAATTGACAATGGACCTAGGGTAGCAAAATCAAACTCTCGAATCGGAGGAGACATGCACAAAAAGGAGGAAATCCGGAAAAAAATATATATCGTATCAGCCCAACATGAGGGATCCAAAAAGGTATGTGATTTTTATCCAGTCCTTTGATTTAGTGTTTCCGTTGCTTCTAGATTCAATCCAAAAATCCAACACTAACACATTTTCTACCCATATAGCAAAAATGGTAATTCTTTAAACCACAAGTCCTCTCACAGACAATAATAAGAAGTCCACCCAACAGTGATTAAGAAAAGCCAAAGCAGATGGTTGATCACAAAAAACGGTAACCAACAACAAACTCAAACTAGTAAAACTAAAACAACAAAATAATCGAGTTCAAAACTGTTACCATGGCTTCCAGGTAGTACAATCGCTCTCTAGACATCTCCTCCCTAGCCTGAAATAAAAACCACAAATCCATAAAATGCTTGAGAATCAGGGAAAAGAAAAATAAACAAAAAGAACAAGAATAAAAGGTCAGATTTATTTATTTTTTGTTCGATTACTTATTTATTAATACAATTTTCATTTTTCATTCGCTTACTTATTTTTTAATACAATTTTCATTTCTCACCGGTTGCTCATAGTATACAGAATAAGAAATAAATGGAATATATCAAAGGCAAGGACTGCATCAAGAGAGAGAAAAAAATAGCGATATCAATGTAAATTTGAATGAAATAAACGTTCGGTGCGATAATAGAATTAAGAGCATTAACTTCCAAAAGAAATTAAAACTAAGAGCAAGGAGGGAAACAGACATTTTACTCCAATCTAACTCATTTAACAATACCAACCATGTCTTCAACCCTTACCAGATATAAAAAAATAGAAAAAATCCCACACAAAAATAGTAATCCTTAAACGTAAAACAAAGCAAAAAGAAAAATCTATGAACACCATAATTCAATTCATTTACGCATTAATTTATTCATCAATTTCCTTACCAGCTGAAGGTCGTAGTAAGAGGATTTACAGGTTCCCGATCCATCAGGAGCCAAGCAATGGCGCTCGAGCTGCTCAATGAGCTGGGAGATATCAGAAGGGAGGCTTTGTTGCCCGAGAATCACAGGTTTCGCCATTAATCCTTTGCTACGCCGAATCTACAGAAACTTCTCTCTTTCGCGGAATTAGAGTTCTCTTCCTTACAACTCCTCTGTTACCGGGAGCTCAGGCTCATTAGAAAGAAGAGCAATAAACCCTAGATTTGGTTGAGAGATGGGAGGTTCACTGGAGGGAAGAGAGAGAGAGAGATGGCCGATGGTGCGAAGAGGGAGAGAAGGGTTTGAACTTTGAAGAGAGAGAGAGAGAGAGGAGAGAGGGGTTCACGCATCGGACCCGTAAAAACATTAGATGGTTTTTTACTTTTTAGTCGGATCCGATAAACAAAATGAGACCCCCGAACGATTGTTTCATACGGCCTGGACCGTATTTCTACAGTATGCGGTTCAGAGGTATAAAATATTCATCTTAAGGATGGATGCAAATAGGTAGTCCATTTAAAAACAATCGTAACTAATGGTCTAAATGTTTTTTTAATATAATTATTATATTTTAAATTTTTAGATTTTATTTTTTTTCATATTCGTGATCTCCGTGTTAAAGAAAATAAAGATCAAATTATATTTAAAAAATATATTTATTGCCAATCCCGTATTATGATGAAAAGTGTAATGTCGTAATAAATAATGAAGCTTTACAATAGATACGAGGAGGTCATGATTATTTATAGAAAATTTGTTTCATGCGGTGCAGGACCTCACTTCTACCATATGCGGCCCCAAGGTATAAAGCATTCATCTTAAGATTGATGCAAATAGGTGTTTCATCTAAAAATAATTGAAACTAATGGTCCAAATATTTTCTTAATAGAATCAAAATTTATTTATTTATTCATATTCATTATATCCATGTTAGAGATTACATGTCCTTAAAAATTAAGTCAAAAAATCCATCTCAAAAATAGATTTTTAAGAGGTGACTCATTTCTACTTGGACTCATAGAAACTGTCCTTATTTATAGCCATTAGATGTCAAATTTGATAACTTGAATGTCTCACAAAATTCAAAATATATATCTTTTGAATTTTGAGCATGGTCAATGGAATAAATGCAGCCACCTAATTTTATATCCAATAGTTTAAGATTAATTGTGACTACCTTCTATTAAAGGTGAATAGTCTCATTCTATACTTTTTCTATTAAAAAACATTTATATACATTTTCACATATTTCAAATTGGAAAATAGTTTGATAGGGCTGCAACCCTATCAAAGTAAGTAAAGCCTCACCTCATAAGTCATCCAAAATTACAATTTCAACTATTGGAAAACTTTTACATCGATCATCTCGACTAAATCATTGTGGTTGTGAAAAAATAGGATTTAAAGCTCTAAACATAGTGTATATTGTAACAAATTATCTACGTCGAGTAAATAAGTCGTTAGAGTTTCATTACAATGTGCAATCAAGACTCAAGATGTTCATGTATTATATTCATGAAATTAAGTATATAATATAAAAACATCATAGAAGATGACACATAATTGTAGACACCACCTTCGAAATTTTGTGTGAGGGAATTCCTAAAAACCTTGATTCTGAACTCTAAGGACCATAAAAAATCAATAAACCTTAG